TTTCGTTCGGGGAAGGGCCGCCGCCCCAAGGTTGGGCGCGGCGGCGGCGGCGGCGGGGGTGCGGGAGGGGGTAGTGGTGGGGTCGGGTTGTCTGGTGCTGGAGCGGACGAGGGGACCCTGCCCAGTCCAGCTGAGCCACCGCCCCTGCAGTTGCAGCAGTCGCAGCAGCCGCCGCAGTCGCAGCCTTCGCAGCAGCCGCAGCAGCCGTCGCAGACGCGGCAGACGAGTGTCCTCCCGCCCGGGTGGCCCGGCACTGGCGGTGGCCGGGCGCGTGGTGGTGTGCCGAGTGGTGGCTCTGGTGGCGGGCGTTGTCAGTACCAGATCCAAACCGGTCCTCGCCACGGTTTCGTTTGCGGTAGGCTCGGTCACTCCACTCCCCGCTGTTTTCGTCGCCTGGACGACCTCTTTCGTCAGCGCTTCGGCCCGTCGCCAGACCTCCCGGACTGGCACAGTTTGCTTAGTCGTACGATTCAGATCTTTGATATGGACATGGATGCCATTGTTGCTGCTCTGCATGTGATGTATGCTGATGACTCTAGTGTGCTTCCCGCTTATTACTCACTGTTGCCTAGTGTAGGTGTGCCTAGCTTAGCCTCCCCTGCTACGTCAGGCGTAGGATCCCCTGCTTTGTGTAGTCTTGGTGCTTCCGCCGTCGTTCCGTTGCCAGACGCCTCTGCTTCGCTTTCCTTCACCTTGGACTCTGGCGCTTCTCGGTGTTTCTTCCGCGACTCCACCACCCTGACGCCGCTTCCTGTCCCAGCTGCCGTCTCTCTTGCTGACCCCTCCGGCGGTCCGGTAGTCGCCCGCAGTTCCACCACCCTTCCCTGTCCGGCGGTTCCTTCGGGCACTCTCACAGGTCTGCATATCCCCTCGTTCTCCAGGAACCTAGTTGGTGTCGGCTGCCTGCAGGACCTTGGCGTCACCACTACGTTCCCTGGTCACGAGCGGTATGCTGTCTGTACCGAGGCCGCCACTGGTGCCCCCCTGTCCACGTTCCCCCGGGACCCGGTGTCCGGCCTGTTCACTCTGGACACCGTGACCCCCTCGGCTGGGGCGCCTCCTCAGGTGGCTGCGTCTACCCAGGTTGCTGCTGCCTGCTCCTGTCGGTCCCTCACTCACCCGACTCTCCTTTGGCACCACCGCCTAGGTCACCCTGCACTCCCGCGTCTGCGTCACATGTCCCAGCACGGTCTTGTCCTTGGTCTCCCAGGTTCCCTCCCCGCGTTTCCCTCCTCCCCAGCCCCACCTTGCACGCCTTGTGTCAAGGGTCGGCTTCGCCGTGCCCCTCACTCCTCCTCGTTTCCCCCTACCGTCGCGCCGCTGCAGACCCTGCACCTGGACGTCTGGGGCCCCGCCCCCGTCCCTGGGCCGCGTCGAGAGCGCTACTTCCTTGTGCTTGTCGACGACTTCACTCGTTACACCACAGTCTTTCCCCTGGAGCGCAAGGCCGACGTGCCTGGCGCTCTCATCCCCTGGCTTGTCTCTGCGCGTGTCCACCGCGGTCTCGCTGTCTTGCGTCTTCACTCCGACCGTGGTGGCGAGTTTGCCTCAGGTGTCCTTGGTCGCTTTTGTCGTGCGGAGGGCATCACCTAGATGTTCACCCTACCGGACTCCCCACAGCAGAATGGGGTCGCTGAGCGACGCATCGGTTTGGTCATGGAGGTGGCTCGCACCTCCATGATCCATGCCGGTGCACCCCATTTTCTGTGGCCGTTCGCTGTGCGCTACGCTTCTCACCAGCTTAACTTGTGGCCGCACCCTCAGCAGCCGCAGGTTTCGCCGACTCGTCTTTGGACTAGGTCTCCTGGTGACGTGTCTGCGTTCCACGTCTGGGGCTGCCTTGCTCACGTCCGTGCCTCCGACACGGACAAGCTCACTGCCCGCACCCTTCCCTGCGTCTTCCTCGGTTTTCCCCTTGACGCGTCCGACTGGCACTTTTACCACCCGCCGTCTCACCGCTTCTTTCACTCTCATGACGTCACCTTTGACGAGTCCGTCTCCTACTACCGTCGCTTCCCCCACCGTGGTCCCCCGGTTACCCCCCCCCTGTTCCTGGTCACTCCTTCCCCGGTAGTCCCTGTCCCTCCTCCTCCTCCTCCCCGTCCAGCCCCCTCTGGTGTGTCCCACGTCACCCCCCTTCCGTCGGTGGACCCGGTTGAGGAGTCTTCTGACTCTGGTGGCCCTCCTGTTCAGTCCTCGCCGGCCGCCCCTCCCCTGGCGTCCCCTCCCCAGTCCCCCCCTCCACCGCCTCTGCCGCCGCTGCAGCCGTCGTTGTCGCTGCCGCCGCCGCCGCCGCCGTCGCAGCACCCGTTCGCTGACTCTGGGGGTGCTCGTCCCGGTAGCCCTGGGGGTGGTCCCTCTGGGGGTGCTGGTGTGGAGAGTGCCGGTGGTAGCCGAGGAGCAGCTTGCGGTCCCGGTGTCGCCGTTGTGCCGCCGCAGCAGCAGTCCCCGCCGGTGTCAGCCCTTCGCCTGCTCGGCCTTCAGTCCCCCGACCCTGCGTCGGTTCCTCCCCGGCCGTCTCCTCCTCTTCCTGTCTACGGCCCTGACTTCCCTCCGCCGGACTCGTCCCCGGCCCGTCTCCCCCCTCGTTCCCCTCCTGTGTCCCCTACTCTGTCTCCTGACCCGACTCCTCCGTCGCACGTCTGGTCTCACCGTCCCTCCCGTGCTCGTCCTGCCTCGCCTGTCTTGCGCTCCCACCCTATGTTGCTCCGTTCCCACGCGTCTCGTCCTCCCCTTCTGCCGTCGCCTCCTCCGTCCTCCCTTGTTGTTGCACCCCCCCCGCTGTCTGACTACCTTCGTGCTGCTCGTCCCCTTGTTCCTCGGGTCCTTGCCTCTCTCGTTACCGACCCGTCTGTTCCGGCCTCGTGCCTTGACGCTCTTGTCCCTGCTGTCGCTGACTTCGCCTCTACCCGCCGCCTTGACTACGCCTACGCTCTGGTCTCTGACCCTGCCTGTCCTCCGTCTGTCGGGGGTGCTCCTGCCCTTGGCAGTGACGTCCTGGAGGACCGCCAGTTCAAGCTTGCTTTCCTCTCCGAGGCTGCTCCCCATCTCTGTTCCATGCTGCTAGTCCCTGAGGGTGACCCAGACGCTTTTGACATCCCGACCCCTCGCACTTACGCTGAGGCGACTTCGGGACCCTGGGCCTCGTAGTGGATAGCTGCCATGGAGCAGGAGATGGCATCTTGGAGATCCACCGGCACCTTCGTCGACGCAGTTCCCCCACCTGGGGTGAACGTAGTTGATGGCCGCTGGCTCTTCAAGGTGAAGCGCCCTCCTGGAGAGCCGCCTGTCTTCAAGGCGCGCTATGTCGCTAGAGGCTTCAGTCAGCGCGAGGGGGTGGACTTCTTCCAGACCTTCGCTCCGACCCCGAAGATGACTACTCTTCGGGTTCTGTTACACCTAGCTGCTCAGTGTGACTACGAGCTTCACTCCCTCGACTTCTCCACTGCCTTCCTTCACGGCAGCCTACACGAGCAGGTCTACCTGCGGCGCCCTCAGGGCTTCACTGGCACCTTCCCTCCTGGGACCCAGTGGCTCCTGCGGCGCCCTGTCTACGGCCTGCGCCAGGCTCCCCGTGAGTGGCACGACACTCTCCGTGCTACGCTTGCTGACCTGCAGTTCTTTCCGTCTTCCGCAGACCCTTCACTCTTCGTTCGTGCTGGCCAGACTCCGTTCTACATCCTTGTTTACGTCGACGACCTGGTCTTTGCCACAGCTGAAAGGGACGCACTGGCCTCCGTGAAGGCAGAGCTGCTGAAGAGACACACGTGCACTGACCTTGGAGAACTGCGCCGTTACCTAAGCTTGCAGATCTCCAGGGACAGAGCTGCGCGCACCATCACCCTGACTCAGTCACACTTGGTGCGCCAGGTCCTTCAGAGGTTCGGCCTTCAGTTCTCCTCTGCACAACCCACCCCTCTGCCTGTAGACCACAGACTCTCCGCTCCAGTGTCTGAGGAGTTGGTAGAGCCCAGCGGCCCCTACGCAGAGCTGGTGGGTTGCCTCATGTACCTGATGACTTGCACTCGCCCAGATCTCGCATACCCTCTCAGCATCCTGGCTCGCTTTGTGGCCACAGGTAGACACCGACCGCAGCACTGGTCTGCCGCTAAGAGGGTTCTGCGTTATCTTGCTAGTACATCGGGCATGGGGTTAGTGCTAGGAGGACGCAGGCCAGTGGTCCTTACTGGACACACAAACGCTTCGTGGGCAGACGACGCTGAGACACTCAGGTCTATCGAGGGCTACTTCTTCAGCCTTGGCTCAGGTGCCGTCTCGTGAAGAGCTACCCGCTCCTCGTCTGTTGCTCAGTCCAGCTGTGAGGCTGAGATCTACGCTGGTGCCATGGCGGCACAGGAGCTCCGCTGGCTGACCTTCTTGCTCACTGACTTAGGTGAGCGGCCTAGCTCTGCCCCGGTCCTGTTCGCTGACAACAGGGCCATGATCCTCCTGTGTCAGGAGCCTCGACTCGAGGGCAGAGCAAAGCACATTCAGCTGCGGTACTTCCTCCTGCGTGAGCTACAGCAGCGACGTCAGGCTCGCGTAGTACACTTGGCCTCAGGTGCCAACACGGCTGATATCTTTACGAAGGCGCTTGCGCCTAAAGATCATCAGTGGCACTGTGTACAGCTTGGTCTAGTTCTTGTAGCCTCTCACTTGCTAGGACCTTGACTTTGTACTGTCCTTTATACATATACTCAGACTGGACTTGTGTCCTCTCCCAGTGGCTGGACTAGTAGTGCCGCCCTGCTCTTGTTCTTGCCTTGTTTGTACTCCTGACTGGTCACTCAGACCCTTGTCTCAGAGGTTGGACTAGTAGTGCCGCCCTGAGCTGTTTGTCTAGGGCATTCCCTTATGCAGTCTAGGGGGTGTGTCAAACATGTGTATTTGTCATGTTTGTATAGACTGTATAGGGTCGCCTCTTAGAGAGTACAACACTTAGGTATATCTGTGTGTACTCTCACTCTATCTAATTCACTTGTTCAATTTCTGATAGTATTAACTTAGTCATTCGGATACAGCTGTCTAGCAGATGGCAGCAGGTGAAGGTGGCTGCCTAGCATAACCTTAACAGTGTTCTTTATCTAATCACGCTCCCTTCCACTCCCAAACGCAGGCTCGCCCTATGGGGTTCGTTTTGTTGTACTGACCAACAGACTTAATGGAAACAAGGCCTCCATAGCCCACCTGTGTGCAATCCGTCTACATCTCAACACAGCTCTACAGATGGAAGCAGGTGAAGGTCAACAGCACAATCAAGAATCAAGTGCCCCTCCTCAAAAAATGAATACCGGTAGCATCTTGCCGTCACCAGCCTAGTGCGATGCGATGCGGCGGACTGAACCTTGCTGTTGCAGAAGACCCTGCTTCTCAGGTCTGCTTAAAGCCATGAGCCCACAGCTGCGCACAACTCACCGGTGCGGACCAGTGCAGGGAGTTTCAGGACCAGTGAGTCATACAGTAGCACTCGGCAGCCCTCGTTCTGAGAGCCTTACTAGCTAAAGAACAAACCAGCCTCAAGCCCTCGGAATGTAAAACCAGCCTCTGAACACGAGGCAGGGTTTTCAGTTCAGACTAAAGCCGCCGGGGACGAGGAGACGATAGAAGCGGTGTGATGGAGCAAGCTGTTGCCCTCTGCGCCTCCCCCCATGCTCTCTATAATGCCCTTCACTGATGCGTACGTGCCAGCTGTGGCACAGACGAAGCCTATGCTGATGAGCAGATAGCACAGCAGGTGCTGGGGGGAGACGAGGGCACATGGCAGGGGAGGGGTGTGTGACGAGGAGAAGTGGGGGATGGGGGAAGGATGAGTGAAAAAGAGGGGGAAACGGGGGGAGGAGGGGCGCATGAGGAATGAGAGACACTGTTTTCAGCCCAAGCTGCTGTTGCCCCGTGCGCCTCGCTCCATGCTCTCTAGAATAATTTTTGCTGATGCACAGGGTACAGTATGGTGGTGCGATCTGGTCTGGTATGGTCTGGCATGGTCTGGTATGGTATGGTATGGTATGGTAAGGTATGGTATGGTATGGTATGGTATGGTACGGTACAGTATGGTACGGTATGGTATGGGATGGGATGGGATAATATGCAGGGTTCAGGCATGGCATGGTATGGTATGGTATGGTGTGAATTTACACACGTGTACTTGGGACAGGGTGGTTCTGATGCAGAGAAGAGGGAACAGAGTCAATCAACCTAAGCACACACCTGGGAGAGCGTGGCTTTAGGCCCGAGGATGCGAAGGTAGCAGGCACAGGGCAGCATGACAGACTGCAGGAGGGGAAGGAGGCGGATCTCAGTGGCAGCATAGAGGGGCACGTGAAGACAAGGCGGGATGCGAAGGGGATAAGGGAGAAGAGCACAGGAACGGAGCATTAACCTTGGCCGTCAAGTTGGAGGCAGCGCCACGGTTGAGTGGTCGGATGCCATCACCAGGCATGCAATGCAGCAATGCAGCATCCAGTTCATTGCAATGCAGCAATGCAGCATCCAGTTCACTACAATGCAGCAATGCAGCATCCAGTTCATTACAATGCAGCAATGCAGCATCCAGTTCATTGCAATGCAGCAATGCAGCATCCAGTTCGTTACAATGCAGCAATGCAGCATCCAGTTCGTTACAATGCAGCAATGCAGCATCCAGTTCATTACAATGCAGCAATGCAGCATCCAGTTCATTGCAATGCAGCAATGCAGCATCCAGTTCATAGCAATGCAGCAATGCAGCATCCAGTTCGTTACAATGCAGCAATGCAGCATCCAGTTCATTGCAATGCAGCAATGCAGCATCCAGTTCATTACAATGCAGCATGCAAGGGCACACCACGTGGTTGCGAGATTGAGCCAGGGGAGAGAGGGAGGGGGGAGGAGGAGGGGGGACCGCGGGGAGTGAGGGAGGGTTAGGAAAGGAAGGACTGGGGGGGATTGGGAGAGGGGAGTGTGGAAGGGGGAAAGCGAAAAAGGGGGGAGGAAAGGAAAAGGTGTACGTACCACAGTCATACTAAGGAAGGAACCGATAAACGCCATCACGTAACCTGTGGAGCACGAAAGAGAAACAGTTTGCAACCAAGGTGAGGAACCAGATAGCTGAACGGAAAAACGCAGCACGGGGGGAGGAACCTTTATTACACTGAACAGCAAGTGCGCCACAGCAGCAGCAGCGACAGCGGCAGCAGCATGTGTCTCACAGAAGAAGGGCACCACTTGACTCACCGAAGAAGGGCACGAGCAGCGCAACGGCGACAGTGGAGACGACGAGCGCGGTGCGGATGGCGAGGGAGGCGCGGCGGTAGCCCGGGGAGAGAGGGTCCAAGGGGAGAAGCTCCTCCAGACACAGCGCCACCGGCGTCATGGAGAGCGCGTACGTGCTTCCAGGGGGAGGCGGCGAAGGCAGTAAAGCAAACGCCCAGCGAAGGCGGCCGGGAAGAGCGGAGGATATGAGGGTGGTTGCGCACATGGGCGAGGGGGCGAGGGAGATGGGGGGGAGAGAGAGGGGGGGAAGAGAGAGGGGGAGAGGGCGCCCGGGCAAGGGAGGGGGAAGGGGGGGAAGAGAGAGAAGGGGGGCAGGGGAGGGGAGAGGGGGGGGAAGTGGAAGGGAAGGTAGAGAAGAGAGGAGGAGATGCGAGGGAGGGAGGATGATTGCAGAAGACGCGAGCGGAGTCAGGGACAGAGGTAGGAGGAGAGCCAGATGAGTTAAGGAAACCACAGGATATGGAAAATGCAAGGGGGAGAGTTGACTAGGGAATGGTATGTGGGAACAACTTGTAATGGAAAGCAGCAGGCATCGGAAGAGGAATGGATGTCTGGGTGCTGCAGTGAGGCGTTATGCAGGAATGACAAAGAAAAGATTGCAGGGCAGGAGGAAAGAAGAGAGTGGTTGAGAATGTAGATAGTGGTGCATCAAATGAGAGAGAGAGGGCAAAGGGGGAGAGGAGAGGAGTGGAGTGGAGTGGAGTGAAAAGGGGTGAGCGCGGGGCGAGTGGTTGGGTCGGTCGCATGAGAGGATATTTGGTGAAGGGATTCACAACCTGCCATGGAGTTACACGGAAGGAGAGAGGAGAGGAGGGGGGGAGAGCAGAGTGGAAGAGTGACGTGAGGGGAGAGGAGAGAGGATAGGAGGATGAAGGGAACAGTAAGAAGTAACGTGGGTGGTTGGAAAGCAAGCAGATGTTGAAACACGGTTGATCATAGACAGGCCTGCTGGGAGCACTCACCAATAACACGCCTCACTCACAGTCGCATTGCACGGTCAACGTACAGTGGTTCGCACACGCACCCTTACAGTCACATCACATGGTCAACGCGCAGTCGTACAGACAGCCGTCTGAAAGGCTATGAGCAGCGACAATTTTTTAGGCGCCTCAGAAGTCACATGGCATAGTCAACTCACTGTGGTCCAGATGGCAATCTTGGAGGCGATGAACTGGCGCGGCAGGTTGAGCGTGATCTGGTTTTCCAGTGCGGCCCCAAACATGGTGAAGCCCATCACTGCCATGCCGCCATAGATGAGCGTGCACAGGAGGAAGCTGGGACGGGGGGTTAACGAAGGAGGGAGGGAGGGAGAAGACGGCGAGGCATGGTATGGGTGCATGCTGATGTGACACACGGCCCCTCTGAACATGCTGAAGCCCATCCTTGCCATGCCGCCATAGATGAGCTGTGAAGCACAGGATGAAGCTGGGGAGGAGATTAGCCAAGAGTGAAAGAGAATGAGGCAGGGGGGAGGGGTGGGTTTGTGACTGCCAGAGTATTGTGACTAATGTCTGGACTCACTTCACCTCAGCGCTGGGCTTCCCTACCTAACCAGCACTAGTGTTCCGCTTGCTTGCTTCCTTGCTTGCAGTAGTGGTTCCACTCACTTGGACAAAAACGAGCATACCACAGTGCCCATAAGAAGGATGCCCAGCAGCAGCATAGAACTTCGGTCAAGTCGTTGCGGTTGCACGCAGACATGTTCGAATGCAGTATCGCAATGAAACGTCTCAGCACTGCCGAGCGTGTGTGCGCGTGAGCCCGTGACTGCGAACTGCCGAGACACCCACCTGCAGTAGAGCACTTTGTTGAAGTCGTTGCGGTTGCGCATGGACATGTAGATGTTGGGGAAGACAGCATGGCCCGAGTAGCAGAAGCCAAACAGCCCGATGGTCACCGGCATGCCCCACAGGTTGAGCAGCGGGCCTGACTGGTGGAACCCCACATCCGCCACCCCCACCCACGCCACTGACGATACCACCACCACTGACGCCACCACCCCGCCCGCTGAGAGCAGGAGCCGGAGCAACAGGCGAACCATGTGTGAAGTGTGGGGAGGGGAGCGGAGTGAGAGGGAGGGGTGGAGGGGAGTGAGCGAGAGGTTGAGATATGGCAGCAGCAGAGGGAGGGATACAGGGTGGAGAGCAGGGGGAGATTTGGCGAGGGGTTTGGAGGATGATACGATGGAAGGAGAGAGGGGCATGCCCCAGAGGTTGAGCAGCAGGCCTGACTGGTGGAACCCCACCCCACATCTGCGACCCCCACCCACGCCACTGACGATACCACCACCACTGACGCCACCGCCCGCCCGCTGAGCACAACAGCAGGCATGTGTGAGGCGTGGGGAGGAGAGGGGCGTGGGAGAGGGGGTGAGGGGCGAGGGGCGAGGGGCGAGGGGTGAAAATTGAGGGGTGAGGGATGAAGGGTGAGAGTTAAGGGGTGAGGGGTGAGGCGAAGCATCTGAGACGTCGGAGAGCAGGGTAAGGCCGTGCAGGGACATGGTGGGAGATGATGCAGCGGGCATGCACGAGCACAAACACATGGCGCGAAGCCTTTGAAGCCATTCAAAATCAGATTCGTCCAGAGCATGTGGTTTTTCTATGGGAGGAGAAAGCACCTGGGACGGAGGAGGGAGCGCCTGAGACGGATGAGGGAGCTCCTGGGACGGAGGAGGGAGCACCTGAGATGGAGGAGGGAGCACCTGAGATGGAGGAGAGAGCACCTGGGACGGAGGAGAGAGCACCTGGGACGGAGGAGAGAGCACCTTGGACGGAGGAGAGAGCGCCTGGGACGGAGGAGAGCAGGCTGAGATCCCTAAGGTTCATGGTGGGCAGGATGCAGATGCAGAGCGCAGACATTTGAGTCCGCTAAAAAGTCACATGGAGCAGGCTTCAAGCTGCCTCGAGAGTCACCTGAGACGTGGAGAGCAGGATGAGGCCGCGCAGATACATGGAGGGCACGATGCAGAGCGCCGGCACGAGCACAAACACATGCCATGACGTGAGCTAAGTTTAGAGGCGCCTCAAGAGTTCCTAGGGTACATACCTGGTGGGCAGGAGGATGATCCAGAGAGAAGCCATCTAGACCGAATCTTACCTGAGACGTAGGAGAGCAGACTGAGGTCGCGCAGGTACATGGTGGGCAGGATGCAGAGCGCCGACACGAGCACAAACACATGGCGCGACGTCAGCGGCACTCCCAGCACGGACAGACCCAGCTGCGGGAACATAGCCCCCAGGTTGTCGCCCTCTAGGATCAGAAACTCCACACAGCATGCCTATGGGGGGGGGGGAGGGGGAGCGGAGTGGGGGGTTAGGGAGTGCTTCTAAGGCGCCTCAATGACGGAGACCAAGCTGCTGGAGCATGGCGCCCAGGTTGTTGCTGTCCACGATCAGAAACTCCACGCAGCATGCCTGCAGCGGGGAGCAGAGTGGGGGGGGGAAGGGGGGGGTGGGGGAGGGGAGCAATGGGAATGGGGTGAAAAGTGGAGGAATAAGGGGAAGCGGGTTGGAACAGGAAGGGGTGGAATGAGGTGTGGGGGAGTAGAGGCAAGAGGTGGGTGGGGGGGCAGAAGGAGCGGCTTGACAAGGGGAGGAGCGGGTGATGCTAACGAATGCAGCTTTAGGATAATTAAGCACACACAGAGAGCAGTGGAAATAGAGTGGATGGCAACTTACATATAGCTCCACATAAAGCACGATCTGGGTCATGGTGGGTACATAGGAGCACCGGGAGAGAAAGGCAGAGAAACGGTAGAGAGAGGGGGAAACAAAGCGGGTAAATCATCTTACAGGGGAAAAAACAATTTAACAGGAAAGATAGAACCCTAAAAAACAGGTAATAGAACAAAAGAGCCTGAAAACATCCCTTGCTTCTTCTCATCCGTGCTGTTGCTCAAAGCCTCGATCCCGTGCGGCTAGCATGCCGTCCATCCTCTTTCCTCCCTCTCACCGATATGAGCAGCCGCCCCATCTGCCCAAACGCAGCCTCGCCTATGTCAGGGTACGTCTCCAGCCCCGGTTCGCTATCCAGGCAGAACCGCAGCACCAGGCCCGTGTAGCAGCAGATCGCAGCCAGCAGGACCAGCAGCAGCAGCCCCGCCCACCCCCCCTGCATGAGCGCGTACGGCGTTGAGAGCACCCCCACCCCCGCTAGGATATTCACTCCGTTGAACATCGCCTGCATGAAGGTGCTCCCCTTGCCTTGCAACTCATAGTACATTTCCGCATCCTCGTAATCCTCCTCCTCCTCCCCGTCCTCCTCCCCGTCGTAATACTCGTCCTCGTCGTCTTCCTCCTCCTCCTCCTCCGCCGCCCCTTTCCCTCCGCCACGCCTGCCCAGCTCAGGAATGGCAGGTGCCACTGTTTCGGCCACACGCCCATCGGCGCCAATCAAGAGCTGGCCGTCTGGAGAGATCTTCCTGTGTTGCTGCTGCTGGTGATGCTGCTGCTGCTGCTGCTGATGCTGCTGCTGCTGCTGGTAGTGCTGCTGCTGCTGATGCTGGGGCAGCAGTCCCTGCTGCAGCGACGGCTGGGTGTAGCTCGAGTCAGAGAGGATCGGGGACTTGCCGCGGTAGGACAAGGAGGGGTGCGGGGAGGTGAGGGCCCCGCTGAGACGGTGCGTCAGAGGGCTGAAGAGCTTCGGGATGCTGGGCGACGCCATGTGGCTGTACACGTCCATGGATTGACTGTAACGAAGGGGGGAGGGGCAGGGAGGCGAGTAAGGGGGAAGACGGGAGGCATGGGGAGACGAGAGATGAAGAGTGAGAGAGGATGGATTACCTCTGCTGTTTAGTTTGTACTCAGGCTTTATCAATGAGCACGACTGCTTGAGAGGATGGATTGTGGGGTAGTGATCGGGGGTGTTGTGGGGTATTGTAGGAGAGTGAGCGAGCAAAACAGGGAAAGAGGGATAGGCTGCCAAGGAAGAAATATTTGAAGCCATAAGGTGAAAAAATACGAGCTTCTGGGGGACGGGCAGCAGGGTAGAAAGAAAGAGAATGGACGAGGATAGAGAACGGCTGAGAACAGCTGCAATTCGCTCTTTGAACAGGCTTTGGCTTTGTCATCCATGCATAGAGCACATGCCATGAGTCACGGTATCCGATTTATTTTCAATAGGCCATAACACATCGAACATCACAAACACCACGACTGTCTGGTTTTGGGGGTTGGAGGGGGGGGGGGGGGGTTGTTGGCAGGGGGGCAAGTTGGCTGAAAAGTGTTACAACTGGTTAGGCGTCTTTAGAAATCGCTTTAAGGGAGATAATCACACGCGATGCGTCATGGTTTCTCAGTGACAGAAAGTGAACATAAGGTTTCAGGGCGAGACTGTTACAGGATTGACGGCAGGGGATCGAATGCGCACAGCTTGACGGGACAGTGGCAGTGGCTCCGCGGCGAGCGCACAAGCAAGCACGCAAGGGCACAACGAAAACAACCAACCCGTACCACCACACACACAGAGCCACCCATCCCCAGCAACAAAGACTGTTATACTACCCATCTGCGCGCAGCTCATTCTTCCTGGAGAAACGGCACCGACCAGCACCATACCAAAAAAGTTACCAGCAAAACCCATGACCGTGCTCCCCCTATCCCAATCCCGTGTCCTCGCACCTACCGGTAGCTTTGCGGCCAATGCGCTCGCTGCTGGAACGACGGCCGGTCCTGCACGGACCCTGGGTCTGCACTTTGCGTCGACTCACAATACATTGTACTGCTAGTACTCCAGTCCCGTGCCCTCGCACCTACCGGTAGCTTTGCGGCCAATGCGCTCGCTGCTGGAACGACGGCCGGTCCTGTACGGACCCTGGGTCCGCACCCTCCTCCTCATCCAGATCTTCGTCATCGTGATACCTACCAGTACTACTGCTACTAGTAATCGTACCACCCTGCGCTCTCCCCGCTCTCCCCATGCTGCCGCTCCGCCCTACTGCCCTCGCCCCCATGCTTCCGCTCCCGCCGCCCGCAGCTCCGCGCGACCCCGCGATGCCGTAGCTCCCGGTCGGCGGCGGAGCCCGCGGCTGCGCGCCGCCCGCCGCGCGATGCCGGTGCGCCTGTGAGTGGTGCGCGGAGTGGCGGGAATGATCTGGCTGGTACTGCTGGTGCTGCGGGTGGGAGGCGTGCGGAGGGTGCTGCGGGGCGGGGTGCGGATGGCGCTGACCTGGCGCGGGTCGTTCCCCCCCTTCCCCGTGCTCCTCCGTTATGTGGTCGAAATCCCCGTCAAAATAGAACCCGTGCTGGCCTGACGCCATTGGGGAGAGGTTCTAGTACGAAGGCCAATCGAAATGCGAGACCTAGTAGTCGCAACACGGTGAACCACGGGGTGGAATGTCCGTCGGGAGAAGACTCGACTTTGACCGAATAAAAGCGTTTACGACCAGATATGACGCCACGTCACTCTCGCTGCTGTCCAGTCAGGCGATGCAACCTGCCAGAAGGCAGTCAGAAAGCGTTAGTGACGCGGCAGGAGAGGAGAAAGACGACGGCGTCAGCAAATGACGGTGGGAATTGCACAGAGCTAGCTTCTACTAAGCTGCACAAAAAGAACAGCTAAGCATCATAGGCGCGAAGACGGGTGAGAAATGCGAAGCATGTGAGCTTGGTTGCACAGTTTAAGTTCAAACACGCTAAGAAACACATAAGCTTGCTCTAAAAGTTCTGCAAGGCGCGGAGCGTGTGAGCAAGCAGAGCTCGCGTAACAGAAAAGCAGAAAAGCTTGCATTTATGGTTGGTTAGAAGAAGCATGCTACGCATTGAGCACCAGTAACATGGAAGCCCAACTCAATGGCCTGCCAAGTGGGCGGCTAGTTCTCGGACAAAGCGACGCCTCACTAGCGTCTCACCAGCATCTCACCAGGATATGATTTCGTCAGAACGCTTGAGTCCCCTCGAGACTTCAGGACGCTGATGCAATTTCCTCGCCCGAATGAGTGATAATATATAATGAATAAATACCCCGCCTAACAAATCAGAACGGAGATCCGAACCTCAGCAGCTTAGCTCAGTTACAAGCTAACGTAACTAACGTGGCTACTAGTAGCTGGACTAGCATAAAGTGGGCTGGGTGGGACGGAGTAGTAGCACGGAGACGAGGCCTTCGCGAGGACTGCAACGTCTAGTAGTCCCACAATGCCTGCTGACTGCCGAGCCGACGGAGTGTTTCAACTGACTGTGCAGCTGCTACGGCGCTGCCTTGCCAGCTGGTTCCTCTCGCTCCCGCATGGACCAGTTTCCTAGCCTCGTACCACAGCTTTCTCCCCTCTTGTTCTTTCAATTATGCGAAGTTCAGACTTGGTGCAGTGCAACTCATCGAGTCTCCGGGTTTTTTGCCAATACCCTACCGAACCGCTTTGCGGAGTTATTTGATCCTTCCGAAACGCAAACCACCTGCGCATTCGGACGCACGCTTGGGACATGCCCAAACCAAGCTTCCCCAATTTCCAACCAGGACAGAATTTTTATTCCAGCCTGCCTTGGGAATGTCATCAGGAGAAACTCGGATGCTTTCCTTTCATTCATCGGTTGGATGCGCACGGCACGATCCTGGGGCGCCTCTTCCTCCCTTCAAACTTGGGGTTGTCTGTCAGTGACAGGGCTGGTGTTTCTTGCCACGTCGAAGGATTGTGGGGACCACGGCAGCAGCACCCGGTTGGCCCGCTTTATGGGCTCTGCTCTCCCAATTGACACCAACGGCGGGCAGACGACCAACGGAATTGCAGCTGGGAATCGTATGTGTGGGTGAAAAAGAAAAAAATCTCCAGAATTGCTGATGGGGTGGTTTCCACGTGGGTCAGACTTCACCCCACGTGCATATTATTCTCCACACGGATTGGCTAACAGCATGTGAGTTCCCAGAAGCCTGATTGTACTCGTTATAGAAAGTCTTACTAGCAAGAGAGCACCAGCTCGCTACCCATAGTGTTGTAATCATTCCACGATAAAGCAAAAAGCCCAGGCAATGCACAAAGTACGAGAGAACATGAACGCCACTATTTACTACCAAATGAAGAAAAATCGCCTGTTGCCTTGTCTGTCTTGTTCCTGCGTGAGGAGTCCATTTTTTAGGCGCCTAAAAAATAGACTCAGTTTCACGTGTTGCCTTGTCTGGCTTGTTCTTTGATGCATTGTGCCACTCGCAGAGAAACATCAGCCGTTCCAAGAAGAGTCGGAAGCTTTTCATAGCCTACCAGCTGCAGTGACCGAGCGGACTCGCTCACAAGAAGCTGCTTAGTCGCGCCAGCTATCGCTTCTGGCGTCGCCTCCTCTTGAATAAACTCGGGAACAAGCTGCAGGTCAAGATTCAAGGCCCAACCAGGAAGGCAGGATGGGGGGAAACACCTTCAGGCTCTAGGGCGGCGAGGCCCTCTGGAGAATCAAGCGGCCAATCAGAGGAACCACTCCAATTCCTACGATGATGAACAGCAACAAAGAGAAGGCGGGGGGTGGGGGAGGGAAGGGGGGAGGTGGGGGGCCGGAGGGGGGAGATAAGGAGGAGGGGGGCTTTGAATCTTACCGGTTGCAGCAGCACGAGATTCACAAGGGAGTAGAACGGGTGGCGGAAGCGAACGAGCAGGCGAGCAAGGAGAGCGGTGGCAGGGGAGAGACGATAGAGCACGACTTGAGGCACCTGACAGGAACAGGTGGGAGGATGAGAGGGGGGCAATGGGAAAGGCAGAGATAATTGCAAGAAGGGGTAGTGGTAGAGGGGGCTTTCGATGGATGGACACAGCGTATAGCGCGCCGCGGGTGCTTGCTCAACCAGTTGGCAGAGGCAACTCAACTCATAAAGCATCGCATTTATCATCTGCTGATCAGTAGCATGAGAACAGGGGCGATTCAGAACAAGTCAGTGCAAGTCAAGGCAAGTCAACGCAAGTCAACACAAGTCAACGGACGCAGCAGCAAGTCAAGGGAAGTCAACGCAAGTCAACACAAGTCAACGCACGCAGCAGCAAGTCAAGGGAAGTCAACGCAAGTCAACACAAGTCAACGCACGCAGCAGCAAGTCAAGGGAAGTCAACGCAAGTCAAGAGCACCTTGAGCAGGGCGAGCTGGAGAGTCACACTGCCGGACTTGGTGACAGCAGCATCAGCTGCTGCCATGGCTTGCAGGCTCTGGTGCGGCTGACAGCAGAGAAACACAGAAGGGACGTTTGAGGGTGCGGGAGAAACAAGAGGAAAGACGTTAGAGTCGAGTCAAACGTCTCCCAGAGTCACACTGCCAGACTTGGTCACAGCAGCTGCTGCCATGCATGCTCTGGTGGGGCTGAGAGCAGGGAAAAGGAGGAGGGGAGGTGTGAGGAGACTATTACAAGACGAATGGGAAGGGAGGGAGATGGGGGGGGGGAACGAGAAGGAGAACGAGAATGGGAACAGGGGCAGGAGAGGGGAAGGAGAACAGAAGCGGGAATACAGCATACCTCCAGCACTCTACAGCATGTGTGCATGCCAAATGCCCGAAGCTGCTCCTGCACTGGAGCTCTCAGGGACTCGTCTGCCAGGGGCAGGAGAAAGAGGGGCGGCCTGGAAAGCAGCGGGACGGGGAGCGAAGGAATACGGGGGAGAAGGGGCAAGGATGGGGGGAATGCTAGAGGAGGAGACCCATCTCCCTGCTGCTGCTCCTGCACCGGTGCTCTTAAGGACTCGTCTGCCAGGGGCAGGAGAAAGAGGGGCGGCCTGCCGGGCCAAAAAAATTGGAGAGAGAGAACGGCAGAAGGAGATGCGAAAATGAGAAGGAAGATAAAGCGAGAGGAGGAGACTCATCTCCCTGAAGATTTTGAGGCGCCTCAAAATCGAGAGGAGGAGACTCGTCTCCCTGCGATTGCTCCTGCACTGCACCGGAGCTTGAAAGGACTCGTCTGCCAGGGGCAGGAGAAAGAGGGGCGCACTGGGGGGACCGGGGTAGAGGGGAAGGAAGGAAATGGGAGATAAGGGTGGGGAGAAGGGGAAAGGATGGGGGGGGATGATGGAAGAGGGAGGAGACTCATTTCCCTGCTGCTGCTCCATTCAGAGGAGAAGCGGCGGGACAGGGGGGGAGGGGGAAGGGGCTGATGGCAGAGGGGGAGGAGACTCATTTCCCTGCTGCTGCTGCTGCTGCTGCTGCTGCTGCTGCTGCACCGGTGCTCTCAGGGACTCGTCTGCCAGGGGCAGGAGAAAGCGGGGCGCACTGGTGGGGGGGGGAGAGAGGGGAAAGGAAGGAAATAGGAGCGGAGAAGGCGAGAGGATGGCGAAGATGGAGAAGATGGAGAAGATCATGCAAGAGGAGGAGACTCATGTGGTGCTGTTAAACTGGTGAATGTGTGTGGGGGGAGGGGGGAGCGGGGAGCGGCATAATGTTGCTCCTGCACCGGTGCTCTCTGGCTCTCATTTGCCAAGAGGAGGGAAAAGGGGGGAGGAATGGCAGGAAGAGACGAGGCGAATGAGGAGAGGGAGTGGGAAGGAGCAGGGGAAAGGACAAGGGGCAACAGGGCAAACATCGAAAAAGAGAAGGCACGCTCACCCGTCCTCAGTATCATGCATTTGTTGGTTGAGCAGCACAGCAGCGGAGAGCACAGTGGGGAGGATGAAGGATGTTTCCTGCGGGCGAGAAGCCGGCAGCAGCGCCACCACTTTGGCAGTTGCAGGGATGGCTAGCTGGGTGCGGGCCTGGAGAAAGGGAGGAAGGGAGGAAGGGAGGAAGGGCAAGACAGTGGGCAGTGGAACACAGCAGCTGAGAGTGCAGTGGGGAGAATGAGGGCGGCCTCTTGAGAATGTGGTGCAAAACGGGGTGGTTCAGAAACGGGGCGAGAGAAGGGGAGAAAGGGACAAGGGGATTCAGGAGCATCTCTACGTGCCTACTGAAGGGGATTTTCGAGTCAACTCAAACATCTACCTGGCTTCTGAGGGGAGATGCTCATCTGCTCATCCACCCACCCACCCACTCACTCACCTGCTCTCTGCTTGGTGCATGGGTGACAGTGTCCACTAGAGGGTGGCCAAATAGCCGCACCGTGGCTCCTACTGAAGAGAAGAACTCAGCCTGCAAGAGGAACGGGGCAAAGGGGTGATGAAATGAGGCTGAGTTTTGAGTCGATAAAAAACAAATAGCTGCACCGTGGCTCCTACTGAAGAGAAGAACGCAGCCTGCAAGGGGAACGGGAACGGGGGAGCGGGGCAAAAGGGTGATGAAGTGAGGCTGAGTGGGAGAAGGCGGGTGCGGGTTGAGGGGGGAAGGGCGAAGAGAGAGAGAGAATGAGAAGCTGATCTTGTTTGAGTGAGTGGCAATGAACGGGTTGCCAGAGAGGAATGCAGTGGTTTGGTGCACGCATGCATCATGCATACATAAAAACAGGCATGCATGAATCCCACCGGGACGGGTATGCATACAGACACACATACAAACAGGCATACATACCTATCAACAGGCAGGCATGCATACCAAGAGGCAAGCATGCATATCAACAGGCAGGCATGCATACCAATAGGTAAGCATGCATACCAATAGGCAAGCATGCATACCAACAGGCAAGCATGTATACCAACAGGCAAGCATGCATACCAACAGGCAAGCATGCATACCAACAGGCAAGCATGCATGCATGCCAACAGGTATGCATGCGTAATGCATAGCTGCTTCCTCTCACCCCTCCCTCAGCTGCCTCGCCTCGTCAGCGCGAGTGGAAATGACGAGGTGGCAGCAGGCAGCGGCAAAGACAGAAATGCAATGGTGACCCAGTGGCAGCAGGCTCCCTCACCTCATTAGGGTAAGCTTTTTTCTAGGCACCTAAAAGGGACCTCAAAGAAGGCACCGATGCAATGGTGATCCAGTGGCTGCAGGCTCCCTCACCTCGTTGGGGTAAGTGGCGATGACCGCGTTACAGGCAGCAGCAAAGACACAAATGCATGGCCACGTCCTCTTCCCACCCTCAACCCATGGCCGCACCTCATCGGGGTAAGTGGCGATGACCACGTGGCAGGCAGCAACCGAGGCAATGCGCGGAGAGGAGGACGCCGAGAAGAGCCACTCGTTTGGGGGGATGTAGTAGACGACCCGCGTGGTGGCAGCTGGGGAGAGGGGGAGGCATGGAGGGGAGACGGGACAATGGGGGGAGGCAGAAGCAAGATCGGGACAACGAGAGTGTGACAGACGTCCAGTGGGTGATTCGAAAGGCACTAGGCAATGAGGGGTTCTAAGAGGGAAGAGGAGCCGGGGGGGGGAAAGGGGGAGGATGGGGCGGGGGGATGGGGTGGAGGAATGGGTTGCGGGAATGGGATTGAGGAATGGGATTGAGGAATGGGGTTGAGGAATGGGATTGAGGAATGGGGTTGAGGAATGGGGTTGAGGAATGGGGTGGAGGAATGGGATTGAGGAATGGGATTGAGGAATGGGATTGAGGAATGGGGTTGAGGAATGGGATTGAGGAATGGGGTTGAGGAATGGGGTTGAGGAGTGGGGTTGAGGAATGGGGTTTAGGAATGGGGTGGAGGAATGGGATTGAGGAATGGGGTTGAGGAATGGGGTTGAGAAATGGGGTGGAGGAATGGGGTTGAGGAATGGGGTTGAGGAATGGGATTGAGGAAATGGGGTGGGGGACGACAGTAAGGCATGGTATGACGTGGAGTCTGGGGAGGAGAAAAACGGTGAACAAGGTAGGGAGGGAGGGGAAAGGAAAAGGGAGCAATCGTGTTGGCACATTGGGCCATCCCCTTTTCCAATGATCCATGACCCACCCATGACCTATATCCATGACCCAAGACCCATGACCCATGACTCATGACCCATGACTCATGGCCCATGACCCATGACCCATGACCCATGACCCATGACCCATGACTCATGACCCATGACCCATGGACGCACCATGGTTCTTAAGAACATAATTGGCGAGGGGTATGTTGAAGCCAGGGTAGTCTACTAGCACCTGAAACGCACACACACACACACACACACACACACACACACACACACACACACACATCATGCATGCATGTCAGCATGCCCATGACGCCGTGTGTGTGGATGCGAATGCAGACTCAAGAATGACATGTAAAGCGCAGGTGGTATGGTATGCACACCAGTAACGAGAATGCAGACACAAAAGTCATCTCGCATGCGAATGCAGACTCAAGAATCGCATGTAAGTAACGCACAGGTGGTGTGGTAGTATGCACACCAATAACACAAAAAAAGACGGGAGGGAGAGAAGTGGGGGGGGAGGGGGGTTGTGGGGGCATAACGGAGCAAGGGGCATAGGAGAAAAGAGGGGGGGGGAGGAGGAAGAAAGGAAGAATGCAGTGAGGGCATAAAAGGCTGCCCTTTCTGTGCTCCTGTGCTCAAGAGTTTTGAGTTTTGGCACGGAGTGAAAGACTGCCCACCCCACCCTCCATGACAGGTGGCCTGTGCTCCTGCACGAAGCGCTTGACAAACTTATAAGCTCACCCACCCCTCCCCTCCCAGCCTCTCCCTCCCCCCTGACCTTCCACACACACCCACTCATCCCCCCCCCCCCCCCCCCCCCTTCCCACACACACACAACCACCCACCAACCCAACCACCCAGAGACGCACCCAGAGACGCACCCACGGACGCGCCCACCCACCCACGCACCCACCCACCACGGCGTGTGGCTTGTGGTGCCGCACAAAGCGCTTGGCGGCAGCGAGGAGCAGCAGCGAGCGCGGCACAAAGCGAAGGGCCTCGAACAGCCCGATGGACGACATGCCGTGGTTGCTGCCTGCCATGGGAGGTTGAGGCAGGGTGGGCCGGAGATAGGGCGGTGAAGGCAGGGTAGGGCGGGTATGGGGAGCGGTACGTTAACGTTTGAGGCGCCTGAAACAACGAAGGGCCTTGAACAGCCCGATGGACGAAATGGCATGGTTGCTGCCTGGGGTGGGTGGGAGGTGAAGGCAGGCTGGGCCGGGTATAGGGTCGGTAGGGTGGGGAGAGGTACGTTAACGTTTGAGGCGCCTGAAACAACGAAGGGCCTCGAAAAGCCCTATGGGCGACATGCCGTGGTTGCTACCTGCCGTGGGCGGTGAAGGCAGAGTGGGGTGGGGGAGTGGTAGGCAAAAGGTTGCAGGGCATCAAACACTGAAGGGCCTCAAACACCCCTGTGGATGACAGCCATGGGGTGGTAAAGCAGGGAAAGGGCAGGGACAGGGAAAGGGCAGGGCAGGGGAGGTGTTGGTTGAGTCCCCAATGGAGAAGAGACTCAAACAAACCAACAGCCCGTTTCCTGCTACTGCAAGAGGGTGGCACGCACCAACAGCATGCCTAAGAGGGTAGCACCAACAGCATACCTAAGAGGGTAGCACCCGCTGCTTCGCTTCTTGGCCCTGCAACTGCATATACCTCCCACTCCTCCTCCTCTTCCTTCTCCTCCTGCTCTCCCCCTTTCCACTCCTCTCCCCTCTCTCCCTTCTCCCCCTTCTCTCTCCCCAGCAGTGCTGCCACCAGTCTAGCCGCATGGTCGTCCCCCATCACGTCACCTGCGCACACCTGACCCGGGGAGAGGGGGCAAGGGAAGAAGGTTTTAAGGCGCCTCAAAACGTACCAAGTCCTCCCATCATGTCATCGATAGTCTAGCCGCATGGTCTGGTCGTCTTCCATCCCACCATTCTCCCCGGCACACACCTGGCCCGGGGGAGAGAAGGCAGCGGGGCGAGAGAGGGAGGACGCAAGGGGGCGAGGGGAGAATGCCTTAACGGCGCCTCAAAACGAACCAAGGCCAGCATCACGTTACATGCGCACTGGGAGGGCGAAAAGGGGAGGGGGCAAGGCGGCAAGGGAAGAAGGTTTAGAGGCGCCTCAAAGCAAGTCCCCCATCACGTCACCTGCACACACCTGACTCGAGGGCGAGAGGCCACGGGGGCGAGAGGCCACGGGGGCGAGAGGCCACGGGGGCGAGTGGCCACCGGGGCAAGAGGCCACGGGGGCGAGAGGCCACCGGGGCGAGAGGCCACGGGGGCGAGAGGCCATGGGGGCGAGAGGGCGTCTCAAGCTTCTTGCCTCACCAGTACTTTCATCTTCCGCTTCCCCTTCCTCCCCCCCAAGTGCTGGAAGTCTAGCTTTGAGACGCCTCAAAGCCAGAGAAAATAGCTGATGTAACGCAGGGGGGAGCAAGGGGGGAGCAAGGGGGGAGCAAGGGGGGAGCTGATGTGTGCATAGCCTTGCCTCACCAGTACTTTCATCTTCCGCTTCCGCTTCCTCCCCCCAAGTCCCTCCGCGCTCCCCCCAATGGCTTCACTTCTCTCCTCCCCACCCGCATTCCTCTCAAAATCTTCGGTTTCTCCTCCCCCGTTCCCCTCGCCCTCCCCCCGCTCATCCTCCCCTATCTGCGCCGCCCCGTCTATCTCCCCCCGCGTCCCCTCTACGCGCATCCTCACTTCCCCATGGTCGTTCTCCGCCGCCCCGCTTTTCCCCCTATCCGCAGTTCCTTCCGCGGAGCAGCGCAAAGTCCTCCGCTCACTCCGCTCCCTCCGCGGGTTGATCCATGCCCCTGCCTCGTCCCGTGCCGTTAGAGCGCTCTGTTGCCGCTTGGTCTGCGACGAGACGTCGCACGATGCGAATGCGACGGCTGTGCGAAAGGCGGAGTGCGACAGCGGCGAAGCGGCAGCGAGAACCTGGGTCGAGGATTCGAACCCCCTACCTGTCCGAATCCGATCTTCATGGACCGAAATAAGCGAAAGAAACTGATTTTGATTTTGCAGATGATGACGCGAGGCAGCGGATAGCGTAAACATGGCGGAAGACGCGTTAGCGAACTACTCGTTAGAAACTGACTCGCCGCTGCCCTATCATCTACCGACCTAAGCACCAAAGCTGGCGGTGATAACGCAACGCTAGGGGCAGCGAAAATGTCCAAACATTTCATGAATAATGGTGCTAGAACAGCAGTAAGGTGAAAGGCAGGAAGAAAGCTATTCCCTATGGTTCCCCCATCGCTGACAAGCTCCAAGCTTCAAGCTGGCTGGAGGTGTGTCCGCGATACAGCATTCGCGAATTCTCAGATTGAGGGGAAAATTGAAGGCGAGGGGAACTGTTATGAAATAGGAAGTGTCAATGTACTATAACGTGAGAATACAAGGTCGCTATTGAAATGAAGGCACGAGGTTATATAGGAGTTGGCGTACTAGGGCGATAACCTCGGAACGTGGGTAGGTTCGGCAATGTGGGGACAGTGCCGGACGCGACTCGGGAAAGGGTTGGGCCGATAATTGAGGCCGAACGTGACGAGTCGAGGAAGTCGGGTGTACGCGCTAACGTACGACTCAGTAAGGAATGGAAATTCCTTACACTACCCCCCCCTCAACGAGACCGCGGGCATCGGAAACATTCCAACGCTGATAATACGCTGTTAGAATCGGATGTGATTCTAGCTCAGCAAGTGGCACCCAGCTGTCGTCTTCGGACGTGCGATCGCGCCAGCGGACGAGAAAATCAACCATCCGATGGTTTAGCTGCGCCGTGACCCGATGGCCGAGAATTTTCAAAGGCTCGGTTGTCGGTTCCTGCAGAGGCGTCAGCTGTGGTACAGCGCGTTGGCGCGCCAATTTTGAATTAGGCGTACCGTAAGAGGCTGACGTGGAACGCCGGGTGGTGACGCCAATCAGCCCGAAGTCAGAGGTGAGCAGTGACAGGTGTCACCATATTCGTCACTTGAAAGGGTCCGCAGAATCTGGGGCGGAGTTTGCTCGGGATCGGCAGCCGCAAATTGAGAGTGTCGAGGAGGACGAGATCTCCCACTTTGTAAGTGACGTCACATCGATGGCGATCGGCTTGTCGGCTTGCGACCAGGTTGGCTTTCCGGATGGCCTCGGCTGCTCTTTCTCGGGCGGCGAGAATGTCTTCAGCAAATTTCTGGGACCAGGGCACGGGTGTCGCGATGTTCGAGGTAGGGGGTACTACTGGGTCCTGTCCGTAATTTAGGAAAAACGGGGAGTGATGCGTTATCGCGGAGGGCGCGTTGTTAAAATTCCAGCAGCGGAAGGGATTTCTCCCATGTCTGTGGGTCAGTACAGGTGGTCCGAATGAGTTGCTCCATAGTTTGGTTGACTCGTTCGATCTGCCTGTCGGTGTGTGGGTGGTAGGCATAGGAAAACTGCAGTTTTGTGCCGAACTGGTCCCACAGGTGGCGCCAGAAATTCGATGTGAATTTGAGGTCTCGGTCAGAAATAATTGCGGTGGGCAGTCCGTGCAGTCGAATGACGTTGGCGATGAACAGTTGAGCGGTTTGCTCGGCTGTGATTGTCTGTTGGCAGACGATGAAGTGCGCAATTTTCGTCAGTCGATCGACGACCACGAGGATGGCGTCGTTTCCGCTGGGACCGGCTAGCAATCCTGTCACGTAGTCCATCGTGACGTGTTGCCATGGTCATTCGGGCGGATCCAACGGCTGCAGTAGTCCGGCTGCTCGCTGCTGAGAAGATTTCATGATCTGGCAGGCACTCTAGAAGGACACGTACTTGCGCACATCGTCAGCCATGTTCGGCCAATAGTAGTTGCGCTGCAACGTCTTCGTAGTTATGTCGACTCCGAAATGCCCGGAAGTAGGGTTGTCGTGGGACTCCTGTATTAAAAGGGTACGAAGAAAATCGTAGCCGGGTACCCAAATGCGCGAAGTATCGCGCTTATTAAAATAGTGTCCAGTGGCGGTGGTGTGCTGTTGATGAATAGCAGAGCGGAAGAAAGGGTCGATCTTGTAGCCATGGTTAAATAGTCCGATAAGTAAGAGGCTGGTCTGGGCGATTAGTATGGCGGCGGTATGGGCAGTAGGTCGGGTCAAGGCATCGGCAATATTGTTGGCGCCCCGTTTGTAGGTGATGATGTAATGGAAATTCGACTCGAGGAAATCGAGCCATCGGATCTGTCGCGGGTTGAGATTCGGTTGGGCTCGTAGGTACTGTAAGGATTTGTGGTCAGTTCGCACCGTGACGTCAGCACCTGTCAGGTAGCACCGCCAAGTCTTGAACGCGTGGACGATCGCCAACATTTCCTTGTCGTGGACTGTATAAATTTTCTCCGCGCCCTGCAGCTTCCGTGATTCGTAGGCGACTGGCTGTAACCCGTCGTCAAAATCCTGTAGGAGAACTGCGCTGATGGCGATGCCGCTGGCGTCGGTGATGACTTCGTATGGACGGTCAGGATCGGAGATGCGAAGGACGGGCGGCGACGTGAGGGCGATCTTCAGTTGGTCAAATGCAGCTTGCTGGTTCTCTCTCCACCAAAAACAATTGTGATCCTTCAATCGGTCGGTTAGCGGGGCAGATAACCCAACCATATTGGGTATAAAGCGGCAGACGTAGTTGACGAAACCTAGAAAACTCTGTAATTCCTTGAGGTTGGTCGGCGGCTTCCATTCCTGGATTGTCTTGATTTTCTTGGGATCGATTTTCACTCCTTTGGTAGATACGACGTGTCCCAAAAACTCCAACTCTTGCTTAAGGAAGTCGCACTTAGACCCTTTCGTGATGAGGTGATTCTTGTGCAGCAGCGTGAAGACTGCATCAAGATCCTTTAAGTGTTGCTCCCTGCTGCGGCTGTTGATGAGGATGTCGCCGAGATAGATAATTACGCATTTAGCCAAGAGTTCCCTGAAAACGCCGTTCATGGTCATGTGGAATATCGAGGGCGCGTTCGTGAGGCCAAAGGGCATCACGAGGTATTCATAAGTGCCGTAGCGGGTTCAGAAGGCAGTTTTGTGACAATCTTCGGCGGCGACGCGAATTTGATGGTAACCTCCTCGCAAATCGATTTTCGAGAAGAACTTGGCTCCGCGAAGTTGGTCGAGTAGATCGTCAGCGCGCAAGATCGGGTAACGGGACTTGATTGTGATCGTGTTGAGGGCTTGGTAGTCGATGCACATGCGGAATCCTCCATCTTTTTTCAGGGTGAACAGGATCGGGGCGGCGTATGGGGTCGTGCTGGGCCGGATAAATCCCTTTGTCATGAGGTAATCCAGCTGCTGCTGCAATTCTTCGAGTTCTGGTTGGCTGAGCCGAAATTGTCGCCGCACCGTCGGTTGGGCGCCTGGTTCTAGCTCGATGCGATGGTCTTCTGGTCGGCTCGGCGGAAGTCCAGCGGGCAGGTCGTCCGGGAAAATCTCGGGGTACTTCCGAATCAGGTCCGCGAAATCCGGATTAGCGACATCGCACAGCTTCGCGATATCTTCGGCTGTTGTCGGCGTCTTCACCTCGCGAAGATCGACGGCATACGCTGCAGCTCCCGCTTTTATCGCGCGTTTGAAAGTTATCGCATGGACTTGGGTGCTTCGCATGCGAGGCCCCGTCCATTTCAGGAGTGTGCGATGAATCCCGCCGAGTTTGATGCTGCAGCCACCCGTCGTCCAGTCAATCTTCGGGTTGTACTGTCGCAGCCAATCCCTTCCCAGCAGCACGTCGCATCCGTCGAGTTTAGTCGCCAGCAGCCCCATCCGAAATTTTACGTGCTCCCCGCAGTGGAAACCGACGTTCTCCACTCGTTCCCGTATGGTCAGCGGTGTTCCATCTACTAGGCGGGCGTCAATTTCGGGTAGACACTTAAGGACGGGAATACCCAATTTTTTAGCCCTGCCCAGCTGTATGAGACTGTGACTCGCGCCTCCATCCACGAATATTTTCACCAACACAGGGTGATCAGCAGTTTTGTCCCCCTTATTCGTCCGGGTCTGGTCGATTGCAGCAATCGGGATCACGACCCGGTGGGGACTGTGTGGTTTGGGCGAAGAAGCCTGCCCATCAATAAGGGGCCCGGTACTTACTGACGTGACCCATTTCTCGGTCGCTCCTCCGGCTTCCTCCCCATAGAATTCTGAGTGGCTACGATCTATGGGCAGTTGGGTCGGATGTGACCCGGTCGACCACAGTGATAGCATAGCCCCATATTTCGCGGAGCAACTGCGTAGATATCCACTGCTTCCATCCCTTTTATCGTGGCGCGCTGGTACTGTTCTCGAGGGCGATCTCCGTCGTAGACGTTCGTCCTCGGCTTCGTGAGCGAATCAGCGGCTTCGGCGAGCTGGATAAAGTCTTGTAACCGCTTTGCAGGGCGTTGAAGTTTTATCTGGTACTGTATTTCAGGCTTCAGCCCGCCCATGTACCTGTCGACCTTCTCCAACTCGTGCATGTAGCCACATCGATCCACCAACGTCAAGAATGACGCAGTGTATTCGAACACAGATCCCAGCTGCTTCCACATGCGTAGAGTCTCGCGCGCTTTGTCTGAGTCAGGAGCGTGCTCAAACCACTTGCGAAGTTCAGCGCACCACGTTACCCACGTGTGAATGTGGGTTGCACCAAACAGCAAATCTGCCTCGTCTTCGTCGCCGAATTCTTCGGACCACTCATGCTGTCCTTCTGTGCGAGTTGCCGCTGAGTCAACGACGACCTTCCACCACTATAGGGCGGCCCCTTGCAGCAGTGTCAACGCATGGCTGATCCGCTTCTGATCCTCTCGGATGCCCGCCGCATCGAAATAGATATTCATGGCGAATATCCACTGCCGCACCGTCACGCCTTTATTAGCTGGGTCGAAAGGAGCGGGTTGTTGATATCTCACGCCGCCACTTGTCGAGCGCGGGGCTGTTGCCGCTAGTCGCGCCAGCTCCATTGGCGATGGTTGCAGCTCACCCGCCTCGCTTCGTGCATCGTCGCCCAGCTCCTCTGAACGCCTTTCCTGCGCCTGGCGAAGTCGTTGGTTTTCGTCACGGAGGTTGTTGACGACGCTTGTCAAATTGTTTAACTGCTCCATTAATGCTTGCAGGTCCACTGTTTCCCGGGCAGAGTTCGCAGCAGTCGAGGTCGTCTGTTCCTCAACCGTCGAGTCTACCAGGGCCATGGCGGTCAGGACGGGGCAGAAACTAGCACACACGCTGTAGTTGTTGAC